ACGATACATGTGCATTCAAATTTTTGATATGTACTCTAAATTACACCCATGATGCTTATGCCAGTTCCCACTTATATTGATGGTATATGGGTGAGGATTATCCCCTCCACCTTCAACTCTCTCTGAATGCCATTTGTTGAAAAGTCTCCTTTTTCCAGTGTTTGGAAGTCTAAACTTCCCTGTATGCATGGGTAGCTTCCTGGATGGTCAAGTTTCTTTCTGTTTGTTGTTCTACTCATCTATTCCAGCTCTAATACTATGCTGCTTTAATTTTCTTTAGCTTTACGATATGTTTTGATACCTATTGGGAGAAGTCCTGTCTCTTTTTTCAAAATGTTTGTAGCATTTCCTTAAACATTTACTCTTCAAGAGAAACTTCAGAACCGGTTTATCAAGTCATGAAAAAAAATTCCAATTGAGAGTCTTTGTAGAATTATATTAAATTTATAGATTGACTTGGGAAGAATCGATGTCTTTATAATAATGAGTCTCCCCTTACAGGAAGATTTAGTCATACTTTTTTTATATTTTTCAGTAGAATTTTATAGTTTTAGTTCCTATAAGACCTTGTACATTTCTTGCACAAGAATTATGTTCCTGGGTAAGTTATAGCTTTTCGTTGCTGTGGTGAATGAGATCATTTTTCTCTAACAACTTCCTGTTTATTGCTGGCTTATAAAAGCTATTTATTTTTGTATACTTACTTTGTAACCAACTACCGACAAACAATTCTTAACTCTTTATAAATCAGATTTCCTTAAAGACTTCTAAGCAACATTGTATTATTTGGATTCATTACTTTATATGCAAAGCAAACAGTAATAATAATAATCTATCATTTTAAATAGTCCAAAGTAGGGAGGTTTTACAGCACACCATAAAGCCCTTTTCACTTCTGTAACCTCCAGTATTATACTATTTACAGAACAGATATGTTGTTGTTTTCAGTACTCATAATAGCTTGTTAACCTTAAAGAATTATAAATTTTAAGAGCTGAAAGTGACCTTACAGATCTTCTTGTCCAACCTCCTCATTTTACATAGAAACTGGGAGGAAAATTTATTTGTTCATAAGCAGAAGCATACTAATGTGCTAAGTGCCTTTTCAGTCAGTGTCCAGTTCTCTAAAGGACCAGTGTACTGAATGACAGATTCATTGAATTGATTCACACAAACTTAGCCAGAGTTCACAGCCTTGAAAACCCTATGGAGTTTAGTTCTACTCTGCCCACATAGGGTCACCATGAGTCAGAA